CAACCTTAGGGTCCCCCTCCCGCCGGGCTCTAGGGTGAGGAAGGGGTTAAACACATACCTTTTCTCCATCGCCAGGCTCCCTTGGCGGTGGGGACTCTCTGCATCCTTTCCCGTCATCGGCTGAATGCGCATGCGCAGCAAGAGCCGCGCGCGCATTCAGCCAATCCATATGAAAACATTCTCAATGCTTTCCTATGGACGCTGGCGTCTTCTCACTGTGAAAATCACAGTGAGAAGTGCGGAAGCACCTCTAGCGGCTGTCAATGAGACAGCCACTAGAGGCTGGATTAACCCATAGTTTCTCTGAAACTGCAATGTTTACAGTAGAAAGGGATAATCCTAGATGGACCTGGCACCTAGACCACTTCATTAAGCTGAAGTGGTCTGGGTGCCTATAGTGGTCCTTTAACCACAAGTGCGGTACACATATATAATAATGCAAATCAAAACTACAGCAGTATTTAAAGAAATTTGCAATTGCCCTGCAGTTGTTAATATAGCTGTATTGTTATAATTGCGAGGTTGCTATACATCTATTCTCTAATAATCTGGCAAAATAGAGGGGGAGAGAGAAGGAGGGGGCAACAGACTCCAGATAGGATGTCAAATAATTAAAAACATTTTTATAATTGAAGTGTATTATTTTTCATCCATATCATACTACAACATTGGAATCATGAATATTACACATATTCTTCAGTTACATATACACGAAAGGTTATATATACAGCAGTACATTCAACAAATGTAGGGTATGGCTTGCGATGTAGTACTGGGATACCTATACATGTTTGTTCAAGCCTAGTATTCATTAATGGGGAATCTCATGGCCCAAGGTAGGCTCATCCCTACAAGTACTAGTTGAGCTAGAGATCTCTCATATACTACATTTTAAAAAGTTTTGAAGATCTGAAGAGTATGTGGTGTGGTACAACTATCTGTGAGAACATTGCATCCTAAAATAAAGTCATAAAATTAACCTAAACTGACATAAGTAGACAGTAACAATATTAATCCTAATGCTGGTGGTACTGGTGGTATCTTATTGTAAATAGTAAGGTCATGGGAACCAGGCGATGGTTTCAGGGCCTCATGTCTGGAGAGTCAGGCCATGTCCCACCTGTTGTGGTATAACTATGCTCCCTTGTGCTCCTTAAAGGAATCGTGTCTGTTTTTTTTTTTTTTTTTTTAACCAAGTCGAGCTAAGTGAATGACTCAACCTGTGCTGGGAGAGGACGGGTACAGGGCATCTTATGGTTCCCATATCTTCATTATTTTTTTCTTTCAGGTTGTCAAACCATTTTTAAACTGTTAGACTGACTACTTAAACTGGGAGGACACTAGACCACTAGAGCAGGCTGAAGAGGTTATGGTGCATGAAGAGCTCCCTAAAGGTATTTTTAGTTGTTTTGTTTTACCTCAGCCCAGTAACTTTTGATTGTGATGAGGTGCACAATAAAGCATGTAGAATTACACTTACTGACACTTTTCCAACTTTGGGCACTCTAAGCCAGGCCCTGACTCTGAAACACCAAGGATATTGGTTGCCTTTAGCACTGCTTTAAAGTTTCCAAGTGTAATATTATTATTATTATTATTATTATTATTATCGCCATTTATATAGCGCCAACAGATTTTGTAGCGCTTTACAATAATATGAGAGGGGTATTTAACTATAAATTGGACAGTTACAAGAAAACTTACAGGAACAATAGGTTGAAGAGGACCCTGCTCAAACGAGCTTACAGTCTATAGGAGGTCAGGTATAAAACACATTAGGACAGAAATAATCAAATAAAGTGGGAGTGAAGCAGAGTTGGAGGAAAGAATAGAGTGCTGCCCTTTAGGAGAAAGCAAGAGACAGGTATGTGAGGTAGAGGTTACTCTGGGAGGCCATAAGCTTTCCTAAAGAAATGGGTTTTAAGGCCCTATGTTCATATAGGGCTCTGACAGTGTCAGTAGGTATGGAAGTGTTTTAATATGGAAATGTTAGAACACTTCCCAAAATATATAGTCAGCTCTCATTCATAGAGAGTTCACAATTATTCCAGAGAAGTTCACTGTATACACAGAAGCTGGTGTGGAGGACAATGTGTCCATCTTACGAGGTAGGTCTCAACCGTGCCATTATGTAGAAGTGTTATATCCACAGTTAGATCTCTTCAAATATATCCTCTTGAATGATATTTGAAGTTTGAGAGCCGTATATGCTGCCTTCTAACTCCTCATATGAATGGAATGTCATGTTAGTATGCATTTATTTGATTAGGAAGCACAGAACTAAGGAGTTATGGAGACATCTTTGTTCACTGCTGACCATGACCCCCCCTTAATATCACTCTTTTTTTGCATATGTTTAATGTATTATCTTTAGATAAATTAAAATGTCAATCTTTGCTTATTATTGCTGTTTCATTTTGAATGTACTGTCTCTGTCCATGGTGCTGGAGGGTTTAAGCTATAGATGGTTTAATTCAATGAAACATATACATCTCTCTGTTTAAGGTTTATTAATATAACATTTCTGATAATTAAAACAGAAGGAAGAGTTGTAAGTCACAATTACCCAGCTGTTAGATAGCCTGACCCATTCAATTCATGCACATACCTATTTTATTCCCCTATGTGTATAAACTTTTTTTAAAGGGACTTTTTTAAAGCACCTTGCATTAATCTCAGCGACATTACATTTTTCCAATCCCTGTATTTTAAAATAAACTATGTAACTTGACACTTTTACCTACTACATGTGGGCATTGTGCAAAAATTAATACATAATTCCATTCTACAGTCATTTTAAGAAAACTACATTTCTGAAAATGCCCTCAGACTGCCTACAAATGCATTGAGGCAAGCTATTTGATCAGTTTTATTAATCTATTATTGCCACACCTACTATATATCATAACATAGATATACCATGACAAAAGAGATACCATATGGTGTTTTAAACTTTTTTTAATCTCCAATATTTCTGTGAGGCATGACTAATTAAGTTAAAAAAAGTGTTTGAATTTACATAATTTTGTTTTCATGTAGCACAAAACAAAATTGTTACATATATGATCATGTTCTAAATAAATGCTATGTAATTTTTTTTTTTAAACTAAAGGTTCCTGGTAGTGAAGACGTTAATCAAGCAAATACATTTTTTAAAAGCTTAGTATGCATTCTGCTCTAAAACACACACGCACACACACACACACACACACACACACAAAATCCAAAATACAGTGGATGTCTAAAGAATCAGTAGTGGCATTTTCTGTATTTGTTTTTCTGTACAATTCCATTGGCAGACCCTTCAGCACTTCAGGAAATTGACATTTAAAGAACACATTTTCAATTCTTGTAATGATATATTATATCCCAGCTGCTGAAATGAATAGACAGTTACTGTAATTATATACTGCTATTGTCTTCCCCTAAAGCTTCCTCAAAGTTGTAATTTGTTTCATGCAATCAGACATGTAAATAGAGCAGATCAAAAGACCATTACGTTTAGATAGGCTTTTCCCAGAGATGTCTACTAATAAAAGGTTTCCTGATAGAAATACTTTGTCTGCAAGTTGTATTATAGAGCGCAATCAAATAACAGTTATATCTCTTTGATGTTCTTATTCATGGTTTTATTATTTTGAGAAGGAAGAATGAAAAATATGTTCATTGGAAAAAAAATACACATGGACACGGGCCGAGGGCTTTGATATTTTAAGGTAGGGACAAAGTCGTATTTTAAAACGGAAAACGAGGATAAATCCAAAACCTTTAGAAAACCTTTAGAAAAAAACAACTTTTAAAATGAATCGTATTTACTTATTTTAAAACGGACTCTGTTAACACATGAAAATTAATTCCTTATACTGCACAGAGCATACCAAGCCATACCATTTTTCAAATAGCTTTCTAAAAATGTACATAGTAAAATTCAAAAAATTCCCATGAGTTCAAAACAGGAAGTACAATCCAAAACGCAGTTAGAACTGAGAACAGTTCTTCTAAAAATAAAAACTGCAAAAGACGCCAAAAGACTCAGAGAGGAAGTTTTCAGCTCCTATTTGACATAATCCTTTTCTTTGAGTTTTTTAAAGGTGTATTACAAAAGTTTCAGGTTAAAAATAAGAATAGTTTGCAATAACGTTTGGAGGTAGAGGAGTAAAGATTTAAATGCGTATGTTTTAATCTCTCTTAAGTGTTGTGCAGAAGTTTAAAGGGTACACAAATAAAACAAGCACATTTGGTTTATGGTAAGGTTTAAGCAATTATAGTGTTTATTTCCTTGTATTGTGTTTTAACGATCACGATATTTTCCATTATGGAGCAAACATCTATCCGCACCAAATCAATTAACTCAACCTGAAATGCACATTTATAGTTTTGTGAAGTTGGGTTACTACTTTTAGTCTGCTTTAAAAACAAACTGAGTTTGGGCGCAACATAATCATTAGAATTCAACATACACTAGAGGTAAATACAGAATTAATAATACAGATCAGAAGGTGTGTTTCATAAATTCATCCATTAGTGTCCATGGCAGAGCATGTAGGTGGGTGGAGACTATTATCTTACTGAATCTGGGCAACTCTGGAACTTTGTGTTAGAATGGAATTACCATTAGGGAAGAAGCAAGTGGACCTAGGTAAGCTGAGCTGGTGTCCCTCCTGTCATTTATCTTTTCATTAAGAGACAACTAAAGTCACCCAGACCAAATCAGCTCAATGTAGTGGTGCAGTAGTCCTGTCATTTAAACCATGCAATACAGTTTAATAGAAACTGCAATCTTTTAACTTCATGGTTAAATACACCTCTAGTAGGTGTCTTCCTTACAGCCATTAGAGATGCTTCCTCCTCTGAGTGAAAATCGGTCCTGCAGTCATATGCTGCTCATAGCAGCATTTGATTGAAGGAGCACTGCATTCTGCCACACATGCATTGTGGATAATCCAGTGGTCCCCAACTCAGTCCTCATGGACCACCAAAAGTCCAGGCTTTATATCAGGGTTGTCCAACATGCGGCCCCCCAGATGTTGCTGAACTACAACTCTCATGATTCCCTGGCTATTTTTTTAATTGAAAGAATCATGGGAGTTGTAGTTCAGCAACATCTGGGGGGCCGCAGGTTGGACAGCAATGCTTTATATATTTTCCTTTTTTTTTTCAAATGGAGATACTGACAAAACCTGTACTGTTGGTGGTCAATGAGGACTGGCTTGAGGACAACTGCTCTAATCCAGTGCTTCTTTATGAGACGCATTGGATTGGACAATATCGCAAGTGACTTCAGCTTGGATGCCGACATCGATGGAGGCATAGGTGGAGGCTGCAGTAGAGGAGTTTAAACAAAGAGTCATCTTTATTTAAATTAACTTTTAATCTAATAGGGTAATAGACAGTGATCACATCACTATAAGGGAACCTTAAATTGTTATTTTTTGAATTGTAGGTTCATTTTAACCAGTCCCCTGCTATTTTGGGTAATGGATGTAGGATGGAGTTTAGTGTTTAATCTCAAATTTAAGGTAATTAAAACTCCTGCTACTACTATTTATCCATTCAACTGGCACTCAATGGGTGAAGCAAAATAAACAGAGCCTGTGTCAATGTCAATGTCAATTTGGTTTCAGTACAAATAATTTAATTAATTAAATGACAAGACCACTTCCTTTCTCTGAGCTGAATTTGTATTGACAAATAACAGACTACATTTTATTATTTGTGATTTTGTTAACCTGATAATTTGGTCACGTGTGATCTGTTTTTCCTATTTTCAAAATGTCCAACTCTGCTTCTCATGTTAAGGAAGGAGGTTATGTGGATATAATCTAATATAACTACTGAACAGATATAAGCATCATTGTGGTGTGATGAGTGACAGGGCATACATACATTTAATTTTTTTAAATGTTTTTTAAATTAAGAGTCATCATTCTTAAATAGCAAAAAAGCATTGATCACAGTACAATATTTATTATAGATGCATTTTTGTCCCCATTTACTTTATTTTTGACAGTTACAATGAGGAGGTCTGTCGCAGTAGCTTCCCCTCTTCATTCAACTGATAAAGGTAAATATGTTAACAAAAGCTATGGAGAGTAGAAGGATGGAGAAACACTAGGAGATCTGGAGGACATGGACGTACCACCTGTGCACCAGGGATGAACATGGAAACCAACCCCATGAGTAAAATTAGGGGAACGTCTCCTGGTAGGAGACACTGGCTCTGAGTGTGCTCGAAACGAGGTGGGCGGGGGCGACCTGCAGGACTGGGGCCGCACAATCCAACTGGTCCCCCCCCCATCCTTTCCCCCTACCTATTTTTACTTTAACCTCCCTCCCGTTTTTTTGTTTTTTTTCCCCTATCCCTCCACATCTTCTCTCTCTTTCCCTCTCTATCTCTCACCCCCCATCCTCTCTCTTTCTTTCCTCTTCCTTCTCTTCCTTGTACGTACAGCGGATCTAATATATTAAACTTAACTTATAGTGTTCATCTGCCTTTTCTGTCCCTCAGGACATGGCTGACACACCTATATTAATAAACAGATAAATGGAACTAGCACTATCTTTCATTCTTCCTTCGTGCACCTAGATTACAGGAAGCGTGGACGATACATCTCGGACTCGCGCTATGGGTATTCTTTAGGGTACACAGATTAGAGGTATCCACACCACACCCATGCAGGATGGATATAATCCCATGCCACATTTTAGGGGTATAATCCATACGACAGACAACATGAGGAGACAACAGAAGAGACTTAGCTGAGAGGGAAGGACTACTCTCATGACCCACACAGCATCGGGACTCCTGGCAAACAAAAAAAATAACCATGGGAAAATGGCATGGGGAACCCCACGATAAAGAGAACAGGCACCTTAGCAGTAATATGGGATTATAATACCTCTATACTTCAACTACCTTCCAAAGGCAGTGCAGTGGGCCTCAGAGAACAGGATAACTTGTGGTCATGCGAAAGAGCTCCTTTCACTGACGTAAGAATTTAAACTGTAACCCAAAAATCATTATGTACATTTTGCTAGGTGGAAGCTATTTTATGTACCATACCATTGTGTAAAAACTGATCTATTTCTTATTTCTGCATCTTTAATTACTCTTGGAAAAAAACGAACCAAGAAACAAAGATTTACAAAACCAAAAGCTATGGAAAAAATGAATTGCAGATAGATATGTCCAATGGGATTCAAGACCAATCAAGCAAAATGCAATCATCACTCATTAATTTGAGCAGTGCGCTTAAGTTCCAAAGATAACAAGCTATGTGCACCTGTCTTTGTAACGTACACCTGGCTCTGGGATTGTGGAAAATATTGTAAAGGCAAACAAGAAATAAATCATTGGCTTGGTTGAAGAGGTAGTGTCATCACAATGTGTCTAAGCATCGCATAATAGGTTAAACACTACCAACACACTCAGTTGAAACAGTGAAACTTGTTCTGTAGGTTTGCATTTTTTTTTTTTTTGTTTTGTAGGTTTTGCTTTTTTGTACAGGTTTGCTTTTTTTTAAATGAAAATTGCTACTTGCCGTAGCAT